GTCCGGCCGACAGCGCATCCACTCCCGCTCGGGTGCGAAGTGCAAACTGGTATGGCCTTGTAGCCTGGTCAAAGACTGGCGCCCACGTGGCAGCTAGCGGAACATATCGCCCGTCGCAACGCCATGCACGCCACCTCCAGGCTTAGCGGGTCAACGCGACGCCTTCCGCAATTTCACGCGGGACCTCTGCTTGCGCCAGCGAATTGGCTGCCTCCGCTAGCAACTCCATGTCATCCGCATGACCCAACAAGAATTTGTAGTGCTCTGTGCGTGCGCCGGACAGCCCAGGTGCACTCCCCCTCTTGGCTTCGCGAAGGCTGCGGGCGACCGCAATGGAGGTGAGGCGCACGGGCCTCGGCGGTTGAAACAGACTGCAGCACGTCGTGCGGGATGGGTTCGAGTGGCTGCGGCGGCCGTTTGGCTGGGTCGGTCAGAGCGGCCCGTGAAAGCTCGCCTCTGCGTGCACGCGTGCATGCGATTTCGCGTCGTCATGCGTCGTCGCTCGGCGACTGCGGCTCGTGTGGCGCGGGCAGCTTCAAGAAGGGAGGCTGCTGGCGAGCGCCGGCGCACGCCTGCTCGCACAAAAACGGGCACCGTTTGCAGCGTAAGCACGGGATGGCGGAGCTCGTCTAGCGCGTCCAATATCCGTGCGGGAGGCCTCCGACTGCAGCGTGAGCGGGACGGAGCGGGGCACTCGGGCGCCGTGGATGCTGGGGAGTCAGTGTCAGGCAACACGGCAGCATCCTGTCGGAGGCTGCGCGGCACTGGCGCGGCGTCGCACGCGTGCACGGCGGGAGCGGCGTGGATGCACAGGCTGGGCTTGGTCGGGGGCGGGCGCCGCACCACCGCCCGGGATCGGAACGCATCCGCGAGGGTTGCGGCCTCAATTGCAACTGTGTGACTGGCGCTGGCTTCCAGTAATGGTGGCCTGGGCCAGTGTAGGGATGTAGCCGTTGCCGTCCACAAGACAAGAGAGTGCTCGACCGAGAGAAAGGTTTGCAGTGCCGTCCCGACGAAGAGCCATGCTGAGGGCGTCAGCTTCCGCCGACCCCTCGCCCTCGGCATCCGCCAACGCATGTATCAAACCAGCAAGTCGATAGACATGCAGCGGCTCTGCGTTAGCGAGTGCGCGTACAAGTCGGGACCAGCGCTCGCCGCAACGTGGGTGTTGGCCCCAGGCCGATGCAGCTTCAGGGGCAAATGTGCCCGCAGCCGCATGCAGTAAGGCGACGTACAATCACGAGTTTCTATAAGGCGCCTCTGGCTGCTCCGGCGGGCCTCGGCTATGCCACGTGCAGCGGGCATGTGTGGCCGATTCGGCCCCTTGCACATCGCCAGCAAGGTGCAAAGGGCAGTCGCTTGCAGAAGAACAGCCAGGCGTGGTGTGGTCGGCCACTGCCGGGGGAGCGTTTCCCGGCGGCGCCAGCGGGAACACGGGAGGCCTCGCCGAGGCGGGTGAGAGTGTCCGAAAGCGTTTCCCCATCCGGAATAGGAGGCGCAGCGGCGTCGGACGGGGGACTCGCGGCAGCCAACGGAGGCCCATTCCCGCCAGAGCATGGAGAGCACGGTGGCGTCGCTGAATGGCGCCTTCTCGGGTGTCGTTTCCAAAGCCTGGGTTGGTTGCTTCACCGATTCGTGGACCGTTGCAAGGGTGCGGCGGAGACGCCCTGAAACTAGACCGGGCACTGGCGGCTCGCACTTGTTCATCCTGCAACAGGGGCTCGAGTGCATGACGCTGTCTGTACATTACAATGAAATAACAACTGCCCCAAGAAAGTCGCCCTCCAAGGCGATCCGGCTGTAGGGTCGCGGCTGCCAGTCGAAGGGTTGCTTCTTGCGCACGGGGGCTCGGGATGAAGGCAGCGAGGATCTTTTGTTGCATCGCCGTTCATTGCTGGTGACGGCTGCGGGCGGCCACCGTAGCAGCTGCTGCTGCAGTCGCCACCTTCGCCAAATCGGCATCTGATGCTCGCAGAGGTCCTCGCCTGTCTTTGCCCTTGCCTTCGCCGCCGCCCTTGCTTCCTTTGCCCTTCTCCAAGCCCCGAGGTGTGACCGGGCTGCGGCTGCGGCTTCGGCTGCGGCTATCGCGACGCCTCGCTGCCGGTTCAGGTTGCTGGGACAGAGCCAGCAAGGCGTCGACCACCCCCACCAGAAGGCAGGCCGCCGGCTGGGCAGCCGTTGGCCCCTGGACCAAGGCCTGCAGCTCACGGACGGCTGAACACACAATACGAATTTTCCAAGCGAGGGCATGGTCGCCGAGAGCGTCCATGGCTCCAGGCAGGCGGCGCGCAAGCGACGGCAATCTGCATCGATTGTGGCACGATTTTGGTGGCCTTGTCGCAAGGTTGGGTCGTTGCGCTTGCCGACGCCGAGCAACGCTCCCGGCTGCCGCTCAGGGCCTGACGCGCACACAACGGATGAGCCCGAAGCGGATGCAGAAAGAGAAATAAGTGTGACTCACACTACCATGTTCTTCGAAAGGCATCAACTCCCAAGGCAAAGTATCCGAATCGCACAGTGACACGTAAACCTGTCCTTGGCGAGCATGTGCAGGAGACACGTACCGGCCATGAACCACCGGGTGCAGGCTGGACTTGGCTTCCATTGCGCATACTCGCGCACCAGGCACGAGCCCGCCATGCAACAGCGAAACGAAAGCTTTTCGGATGTCAGGGAAGGCGCAGAATGTTGGTCCTGCAAGTCGGACCACCGGCCCAGCTACGGAGCCTCCCTCTTCGTAGCCTGCAGACTGCACAGGGACCGCGCGGGATCTTCTTCGCGCTGTTGCAAAAAAATCAAAAATGTGTTAAAACATGGCTGCTCGCCGTTGCCGCTCGCCGAGTGATGGATCGATTATGGGATGAATGCTGTACACCACAAAGGTTTCAGGGGTTTTGCAACGCAACAGGTCAGCGTTATAGGACGGTAATCATAATGCGTTCGGCTGTTCATGGACTTGGCGCGGGAGGCTACAATGCCATGTTTCCACATGGATGGGACACAAGCAATCGCATCCATCCGCTGACATGGACAGCGCGATATGGAATGTTATCAACACCAGGT